GTCACCTCTGTTTGAGGTAGCAAAAAACATATGGGATGAATCCTCCCACAGGCAGACCCGCCATCATGTGTTATTCCTCTTCATGCCTCTATGGCCTTACCAGTGTCTCTCCAGCTGCATCGTTGATTCTCAGGCCCTGGGATATGCATGACAGGCTGCTGTTTCTATCCATCTACCAGTTTGGTACTCTCCTGCTCTCCTCAGAAGATAAATATTTGAGCAATAAATAACAGCCTGGTTGGAGGAATTTTGTGGAATGAATCCATAAAATCAGATGGGAAAAAGCTCTAAATGCTGAGGCAAAGATCATGCCAAGGAAGTAAGAGAAGAAAAGGAAATACATCCTTTCAGCTGAGGAAAGAAATAGCTCCCTTCCATCCCCTTGGAACAGCCAAAGATAATAAGGCTGCTGCCTTTCTGATTAGTGCTCTGTGGCCCCAGCTCAGGCAGGGAAAATCTGCATTTCAAATGGCATATTTTAAAGTACACAATACCCAGGGGCCCTGCTGCTATTGATTTGCCTCTGGTGGGGTCACTGCCTCACTTTCTACAGCTTTATTAACTGGGATCATACACTGGGCCTCTTTCAAAGTGAAAAGAGAGTGGATGGGACATTTGTCTTTGGGGGGAGCTGGGGATGGAGACGGGTGACTTTTGTTTGAGCTCACTTGGGATTGCCTTGGTGGTTTTATAAGAAAGACCAGAGACCCTCTCAGGACTTGAGGTCTTTGTCATCAGCTTCTTTCAAGGTGAGAGAGTTTCCATCCTCCAGTCTCCACAGTACTGCTGCACTTGGCCACGCTATAACCTCCAGAAGATATCTGGAAAGGTCCCCCTATCCTTCCCCTTTGGTGCTTTCATCTGTGAGTACCTTAGATCTAATAAGGAAGGAACACTTCCTCAATGCACGAATGGGAAACTTGAAAGCAGAAAGGTGGCAGGAGTGTCACAAAGGGCTGTGAGGTCTGTATATACAGTTAGTGTTGGTGTCCTCTCTCCAGCCAGTTAGCTCAGGGTTGGTGCCTATGTTCAGGTTTGGGATGCTATACTCCTTCCAGCCTTGGAGGACATCCAGATGTACCCCATGAGGTGGCTATGAAAGCTGTCGTGATGTGTCCTCTGGGTCATGAGCAGGTCCTCAGCTCAATTGTTCACTATGTTAAGGGGTTTTCCAGGTCTCCAGGACAGCTCAGGTATCCCCAGAGCACTGAGCATTAAAGAAATGGGTAGCTTCTCCCTGCAGGATGCTTGCTATCCCAGAAGCAACTGAACCTGGTTTCCCAAAGCACAGTTAAGAGCTTTAATTACTAACTTATTTTTTCTGCATTAGCTTTTTAACTCTAAGCTAAAATTAACCTCTTTGCTCCTCAAACTCCTGAGTTTCTATGGGATTATGACCAGTTTTATCTCAATGCTTTTCTGAAACACACCAGGCTTTAAGCTGTAGTCCTTGCACAGTAATAAGAAGCAATAATAAGAAGGTTAGGAATATCTTGCTCTTCCTGCACCAAGAGAGAAAATACCTTCTTTCTGAAGATCTATAACAGCAGTGCATGCATGCCATTATACTGCAGTAAATGGCATGAGTGTATCAATGTATAGTCTCCCAGTATGCATCTTCCTGTGCAAACTTTAAGCCCTCTGAATAGACAAGAAGTCAAACACCACTGGCAAACCAGGAGGAGCACCTGCCATTGTAGAGTTAACGATGAACATCTTAGTGACATACATAAGCAGGAGTAGAAGTTGCATAAGCCATAAATAATGTCACAAGTGATTGCTTAGCTCTGCTGAGTGCAAAATGGAGATTGTCTTTGAAGCAGCACAGTCATTTGTACTACCATTGGCAACTAAATCATGTAGGTACAACCTTATGTCTCTTGCAGCATAGGTGAAACACAAACAAAAAGAGATTAATATTTTTATTTTAAATGGTTGGAAACTGCCATTCAAAAATATCTGCTGAGGGCCAAGCAGAGGGTGGGAATGATTTCATCTGACTGTCACTATGTGCAGTTGAACAGATCACCTAGGACTCTGCATGCAGTTAGTAGGGAGAAACAAACCTGAAATTCATCTGCCCAGAGGCAACTGCGTACAGAAGGCAGGGACGAATCTTGGCCTAAACTCTTTGCCTGTTATCACATCAACCGTAATAGGTGACCAGCTCAGACGAAATGCCATCTGTATTTAGGTTACTGAGTCTGACAGGGAAATGCCAAAATTATAGTCTCCTTGCCTGCCTAGGAGCCCTAAGGAAAGTCTCTGGTACAAATACCAGGCTGTTATCTGTCAACCAGACTGACCATGGCACACACATGATCAGCTGTAGGTAACTCCATGTTTTGTTTGTGCGGGAGAAACACAGAAAAAAGTTAGCAAAGGCCAGACTGGGGCTGAATCAAGCCCTTGCAACTGCATCCATCTCAGAGAGATGCTGCTTTCGTTAGCAGTGCTAAATAGATGCTACAGATCTTAGATGGCACAGATCTTGGCCATCATTTCTGCAACCAGATAGTGGCATCCTCAGCTGTCCCCAGGTGAAATACGCAGCATAGAAAATGAAATATGGGTTGCAGCGTCTGATGCACAGACTCAGATGTGAATGATCCAAATTACAAGTTCTCACATCACTTACATACCTTCACAAGTTTTCTTTCTCTAGCTTTCCCATCCACCCCTACAACTTTCCCATCCACCTTTACGTGTCAACAGAGCATTCTACAAAGCACTCTTCAACCATTCACAGAGACGCTTGTCCAATCAGAGCCTTGAGACGTTCTTTCTTCTTCTAGAGGTGTCCTTGGTTCTCATGCTGTTTATCTTGCTCCACAGCTTCTGCTCTGAACAGTTTTTTATTCCCACAATGGGTCAGTACACCCATTGCTAGAGTCAGTCCAATGTTAAAGATGGATGAATTCCCCTTTTCTTATTCACTTTATTGGCATACTTAATAAAATCACCTCCTCAGTACCCCATCTGGAGAATAAATTCCAATGATGCCTAGAAACAAATGTACTCCTTAAAGAGGAATCAGCTTCGTGCTATAATAGAAAAGATTGTCTAATCACTCCATCAGTAATTACAAAGAACAGGATATCACTAATTAAAATGTGAAAGTGTCTTATGCAGTGTACAATAAAAAAGGGTAATTAACAATCAAAGGGGAAGCCACCACCTTGGCACCAATCTGCATGAGACTATGAAAAATAATAGTACTCAGCTCTAGTACAGCAATTTTCATCTGTAGATCTGAAGGCACCCCTACGTGAGGAGATAGATATCCTGTGCACCAGTATATAATAGCTGGAGAAATCAAGGCAACTATACACAATTTGTCCATGGTTATACAGCAGGTCAGTGGCAGAGCATCCTTTTATTTTGACTCTTCACAGGTGGTGACAAGAAATTGTTCAGCATTTGAATGACAGTGATGATTTAAGGGATTTGTTCCAGTGCATATATGTATGAGCAGCTAATTCAGCCAATATTTCAATGTTAAACAGAAAGGAACAGATTTTGTTGTTACTTTGTTGGAGCTTTATCAGACTTCATGACTTTAAGGTCTATTTAATGCTGAACAGTGTATCCTGTGTGCTTAAACAACATCAGAGAGTGATTTCTTGATAGAGGGTGAAATCACAGAGAGAGTAAAACACATTCTGTAGACAGCAAAGACATGAGTCACTTCTACAATCATTTTGAAAAAAAAATAGTTTCCTTCTCCATTATTATCATCCAATCACGTGTTAACAGTGGCTGGGGAATGAACAAAATGAGGTTTCAGACTCTGCTCATCCTCTTTCCTCACACTTTATCTAAGCATCCACCATCAGTCTTTACCGGAGAGTAGATGCTGTCTCACATAACCTCAGATGTGCCTTGCCTGACTCGTTCTGCAGCTCCAGGGAAGGAGACAAGAGGAAGATTCATCTAATTTTCTTCTCTTCATCTCAGGAGCTAACCCACTGCAGTCATACTGTATGCATGAACTGCACCATCTAAAAGCTAGGCTCAGAGTGTAAAATAATGATGGCAAAGTCTGGTTTTAATGCAGGAAGCATTTCTAGCATACTTAGCCACTCACCACCCTTCTGCTCCAAAACTTTTACTGCAAAATGCCTGAAAATATAGCCTGTATTTCTCATTTCTGCCTTTTTTTAGGGGCCTTAGAAGAGGCAACTTTTTAATTACTTTCTGGGAATTAAAAAAAAAAAAAGGAACTTAAAACTAAGGAAATCATCCCAGATCAAAACCACCGTGCAGGGATTTTCCCACTGCACTTTATTAATCTTGCTAAAGCAAGGGAACTCCCTTCTCTCGCATAGCTCTTCAGGGAGTATCTCTGCTTGGTTGTGTTGGAAATAGGTGCTGTAATTGGGTTAACATGGACTCTGGTTTTTGGTCATGGTTTAACTTAGTGCCCACTGGAGACCTCACAGCAGAATGAAAAAAAAAAAAAAAAGCAATTTTTCTCACCAACAGATGAAAATAGATCAAATTATCCCGAGAGAACTAGTTAAGCTTGCTGCTCTGGAGATACTGGGGATTCTCATTTCTAACTGCTCTACATACAGTGGTCTCCCATCAGCAGCCATCAGTGCCTTCCCAGAGCTTTGATACAAGCAAAACAGGCCATGAGATCTCTCTGCTTGGGAACATTTAAAGTATTCTCTCTGCTGTTCTCAGCAAGGAAAGATCAGAACGCCAAGTGTTGAGTACAATTCACAGGAGACCTCTACACTGGGGAACAACACTGGGAATGTGGGAACCATAAAGACACATCGATGCTCTGAGACACATTTGAATGCAATTTGCTTCTCGCTCTTGTAGTAAGAAAGAAGTGCAAAGGGTGGGGGCTACCACAGGCGTACCAAACTAGCATCTCAAAGTGGAGAGATGCCTCACTCTCTGGCATGTGGTCTCCATCCTGGTGCTGGTGACCCAGGCTGCTCTGCTGGTGACTGCGTGATATTTTTTCCCTGTTCTCTTTGTTCCAGCTGATGCAGCAGCAAGCCGCGATCATGGCTTCGGTGGCGCAGGGCGGCTACCTGAACCCCATGGCAGCCTTTGCTGCAGCCCAAATGCAGCAGATGGCGGCTCTGAACATGAATGGCCTGGCAGCTGCCCCCATGACTCCAACCTCAGGTAAGGGGCCTGAATAAATGGAAGGGGTGGCAGGAGGGGCAGGAGACCTCGAAGGACATGTTAACTGTCAGCTTGTCCCTCTGTAAGTGTTTTCTGAAATGCTGGTCTTGCTGGTAGAGGCTACCATAAGGAAGGAGCAGAGGTCAGACCAGATCATTCTGGGGGGCTGGAACAGGAGTCCTCTGCTACAGGCAGGACCAGCTGGAAGTTGGTATCTGTGTCACAAAAAAGGTGCAAAAGCAGAGCCAAAGGGATCACCAACAGTGGGCTGTTGGGCTGCCAGTGCTCCATGCTGAGCAGTGGCTGAATGCTGCAGGTGAGACCCACCAGAGATGGGATGTGATGGATTTTGCTGGAAAGAGGGAATTGTAAGACACTGGAAGAAGCTCTCAACCATGACCTTCAGCATCATCCCCTCCACAGCTTTCCCTTAGCACAATGGAATAATGACACAAAAGCACTGGAATAGGCTCCCCAGGGAGGTGGTTGAGTCACCATCCCTGGATGTGTTTAAAAACCATTGTGGTGTGGTGCTCAGGGACATGATTTAGCAGAGGGTTGTTAGAGTTAGAGTAGCATAGTTAGGTTGTGGTTGGTCTCAATGATCTTTAAGGTCTTTTCCAATCTGATCAACTCTATGAAAATATCCCACAGTGACCAGTACTGGCTTACTGGTAGTATGTATAGATGTACGAGGGATAAGTGCTCATTCTGTCATAGCCAGGTGGTCCAGACACAAACAATAACATTTGTAGTGAGATGCAATGTCATTAATGAGATGAGCTGTATTTTGGGGATGCATAAGCCTTTTCCGCTTGTGAAATAGGGCTGCTGGTACTCGGGGAAATCTGATGCTACCTGGAGTGCAAGTATTTGGTGAGAAGATTTTTTCATAGCTGGAGTAGAGACAGGTAGTTGGTGAAGGACCCAGGCCCACAGCTGGCTGGGCTGTAGCAGAACATGAGAAGATCGTGCTGGGGAGCAGAGAATTAAACTGAGGTGTAAATAGAACTGGCTTTCCTGAAGAACAAGGAAGTCATTTGGGCAGGAGCAGGTCAAGGAAGTGGCAGGACAGGTAAGTTATTTAGTGATTGCTGGCCTAACTGAAGGGCAGCAGGGTAACAGCTGGGAAAATGGGGCCAAACTTTAAAAGAAGTGAGAATGTGGAGGGGTTTACAATATACTGCTGACTCTTAGGGGAGCAGAAGATTCAGGGGTGTAAAAGTGAAGAAGAATAATTTCTAAGGAACAGTTTAGGATAGAAATATCTCAGAGACAATGCCAGTTGTTCCTATGAGAGGTACTGGAGATGGGACTGAGTTCAGTGATGAGGCATTGCAATGCCATCATGTGAACCTGAAGCACTGAGTTAACCTAAAGAGGACCAGCTCGACAACAGTTTTGAGTGAATGAGATGTGGCAGTGGTGTGCATGAGCCAGCCACGGTGTAGCTGGTGCTGGGAGAGAAGGATCTGGTTCCCTTTGCAGAGCAGATTGGTAAGAGAGCAGCCTCACTGCTAAGCACAGAGAAATCCACACCATCAGTAAAAGGCTAAGTGACACTGCAGCCAGGAAAGACACTGGATGTCAAGGAGACAAGGTGCCACAGTAGTGCAGGCTTAAGGGCTGTTCCTAATGAATCTGGTTCTGCTAACCTCTGTCTGCCAAGAAAAAAAAAAACTTTCTCCATTAACATACAGCTTATCATCTCTTTACAGTCTGTAGCTGGAACAATGTCAGCAGATACAGGATCAGATATTTATTTTTTCCTTTGCTGCTATTAAAATATAAGGTGCAGGGGGAAAAGGGGAAAAGAGAGATCTAATTCCACACCAGCTTATGAGAGCCAAGGAAAAGTGCTTGACTCAAAAATCTTACACCATACATTTCGAAATATATGTTTACATAGCGATAAATGTATAAACAATGAGTCGATGAAGCTACTGCAAATCCAAATAGAAAAGTGGCTTAATTATATGTGCACCCTTTAAACCCGCTGCTGGAAAGATTATCATATTTGCATTAGCTAGATTTGTTTTGTGTTGGTGGGAGCAGAGAGAACGTCAAACAAAGAATGCTTGGAATTCAAATGCTCTCAGGGCTTGGAAAGCTGAATCCAGGCAGTGGTTTGTGATGTCCCCACCACAAACAAGCACAGTCACTTTTGCATATAAATGTCTTGAAAATAAGCCGTTCTGTGACATAGGTGTGTAAATACTAGCATGATAGCCAAATTCTGTGCCTGCCACAGCATGCAGCACACAAAAAATATCCCGGCTCTTCTTTCGTGTAAGCTCTTTTCTGATGTGCCCACTACATTTTGGGAACTATTGTCAGAATACAGAAGAAGAAAGAGAGCTCATGTTTTTTACATGCTTTTCAGAGAACCCATGACTGGTCATTATTGAAAATAAGACGCCGGTTTAGATGATCCCTTGATCTCTTTCACGGTGGCAGATTTTGCACTCTTCTTATGACAGATTTTCAATCCTGGAGCCTATGCACTTTGGCATTATTGCAGATTTACCTTGAATGTGTAGTTTCCTTCACGAAAAACCTCTGTAATGGGTTGTGGAAATGTCCATTGACAATTATTCCTTGGGTGAAATGTTTAGACTTTGAAATGACTCCTTGTATTACCACAACACTTACAAAGCTTGTGATAAGATGCATAGAAAATGTTTCACATATGTCTGAGCAAGCAAGTCTACAACACTAGCAGCAATTTCTGAGTAGCCAGGAGATATCTGAAGCCTAAAGTGAATTCTCCTGCTGGCTTTTGTTAGCATTCAGAAAGCCAAATGGAAAATGATCATTCTGCTTCATAGCAGGATTTCCAGTCATTGAAGTATATCTTTGTTCTGACTTGGAATGAAAATGAAACATTTCAAAGTTCTCTGAAAAACAGGCATTAGAAAAAGTGTTTGGAACGTTGGAAAAAAAAAAAAAAAAAAGAAAAAAAAAAAGAAAAAAAAAAGAAGGAGTGTTTTGATCTTTCCTAAGCAAAAGAAAAATTGTGCTAGAAAAAAGACATTGCTAGCATAGAAGTCCTAAAGGCATCGGAGGTGCTGGCTGAGCACAGCGCCTCTGAGTTTCTATCTTCAGGCCCCTCATGTTCTGAGACCATAACCTGTTTCTGATGCATTCCTAATCCAGCCTCCAGGACAGTGGGTTCCTCAGAACGTGGTCATGAGTTCATTCATGTTCATGAGTTCCCATGGGACCCGGGAACTTAATGAGCCTTGGATCCAGGCAGATCAAACAGACAAGAGACAGGATGCAACTCACCAGACTTTAACCGTACAAAAGTTATACATCCAGTGTAGTCATCTTATTTGCCTGCAGTCAATGCTGAGCAGTAGGCAGTCACAGTGGGCAATTCAGCATGGTAACTTTATGCTGTCTGCCTGTATTTTGATGGTCCCCTATCATGTTCATCTCACACAACAGTCTGCAACTGCAAGGATTTCATGTCTCTGGAAGTTTGGTGCATATTTTCCTTTTCTCCTGTCTTTGATATAATATGAGGAAAAGGTAGGTCTTCTGAGATGTTTCTGATGCTCTGCTTACTGCAAAGAGAGGATTAGAAATGAAATTCACTTTAGGCTTCCTTTCTTCTTTTCTCCTTCCTCCTTCCATGCTGTAAATCTGCACCTGGTGTAGCTTCAGAAAGATATCTCAAACTGGGGATGAAATCCACAACTGGCATGCACCACTGCCATTTGTCTTCTGTGGTGGCATTATGCCAATCTTACTGCAGCTACAGATCTGACCTCTCCAGGGGGTTCTTTATAAGAAGAAAATTAAAGAATTGCAATGAATATTCCTAAACTTCCTTATGCATGCACAAAATAGCAAGCTCAAATCCCCTGCTGCAGTTTTAGAAAACATTACTTACATTGCCTATGCAAATAAAAGAGAGATCCAGAAAAGCAACTGACATTTTAACTAGCCTTTGTGATTTGCAAGCTGATGGCATATGCTGAGAGCATTGCCTTTGGACTCAGGTTGCCACCACTGGCTCCCAGCACCACCACTGAGGCCAACACCATTTAATAAGGAAAGAGGAAGCAGCAGCTTGTCTGCTCAGGATGTAAGAAAAGAGACGAAATATTGCATGCTTCTTGGGCTGCTCAAATCAGAACATACTGAAGCAGCTCATTAATCTGTATGAGTTCTCTTAAAGCACCAGCACAGATTTAAGCAGTCATTAAAGTGGGTTATTGGACTAACCCATCATGGAGTGCTGTGATGGTGAAGAAAATTTCTGCAATTGGTTTAAAAAAAAAGGGATTCCTGCAATCAGTAGTATATCCTGACACAGGAAGATATTACTGAAGATAAGAGAGTTTAACTTCGCACCCAGACAGCAAGAGAAAAATACAATTTCATACGTATTGAAAACTCATTTTTGTTCTCTGGAAACATCCTGAATACATTTCAAGTAGCACAGACTGTCCAGTCCTTTCAAATACACATAGGAGAAAATAGTAAGGTAGCAGAGGGATTTAATTTCCCCCACAAAATTTTAAGATTTCTTCATCAGTGGGTGACAGGATTCCACCCAAAACATAATGATTAAATTGTTCCTCTGTAATAGTATTATAGCCCTCACAGGATGAGTCTGGGAAGAAATGGAGGAACACGGTTCCATAGAGGAAAACTCTAGCTTAATTTTTGCCCCTTTCCTGTGAGGAATCCCTGCTGAAACTACAAAGTCAGGTGGGGGCAAAACAGCAACGCTAAAAATCTATTGCTGTCTGTCTGTAGGCTACAAATCAACTTGCCAAACATTTTAAGTATCCCTGATGCTGGAGTTCAAAATTAGTTTGCACTGTACATGTGTATTCATGAGAGAGTGCAGAAAGAGTGGCCCTGAAAATCACTACGCCCACAAAGCTGACATCTCCAAAGAGAAACTGTAGAAAAGTGGGACTGTGAATTTGCTTTTGGTGCTAAATGATATCTAGGAAAGAAATGTCTGCTTATTAAGTCATCAAACATGTAGTACTCTGGGGAGAGAGCTCAGGAGGAATGGCAGTATTTCTGCTGTCTTGTACTACATGATGTTAGCTGTGGATCTAGTCTTAGAGATCAGGATCACCAAACAAATTTTGTCGGTTGAAAAAAGCTTTGCAAACCTTTCTTATGTTAAATGCTTTCCAAACAAAAAAGCACTGGTAAATTTAGCCTGCGATCATGTGAGTGGTTGCTTTCTCCATGAGAAAGCTTGGAAGATTTTTCTTTTCTTGAATTATCATAAGGTTTCTGAGTGGTGGTGATTGTTGTTGCATCAGGAGCTTTCCCTACGTAGTTATTGCTTCCAGTACTCATCAGCTTTGACTTTGTGTTCTTCCCTCCTTGCAGGTGGAAGCACGCCTCCTGGCATAACTGCACCAGCTGTGCCTAGCATCCCATCTCCCATTGGGGTGAATGGTTTCACTGGCCTCCCGCCGCAGGCTAATGGGCAGCCCGCCGCAGAAGCCGTGTTTGCGAATGGCATACACCCTTACCCAGGTAAGCCAGACCACTGCCATACCCACAGCCTGCTTCATCAGTGTTAGGGAAATGTCTGTAGCATCAGCTGCTTCAGAAGGATTATACCCTGTACCAGGCAGTGTGCGCTAATTTCCAAAACAATTGCTGCATTCAAACCCTCTAGCCTTACCAGGGCTGGTGACTGAAGCCAGTTCAGCACATCCACATAACAGGCTCAGCTTCATCCTATCATGTCACACCATTGGAGACAGCTGATAGGGTTCGTAGACTGCAACTAGCTCAAAAAATGCAAGTCCTGACGGGGTGATTTTGAAGTCAGAAATGAATGAAGGAGATTAAAGAATATGTATCTACCTCTGTGCCCATACTTAACAGATATACGGACAATGTGAGGCTGTAATCACCAAGAACTTAGGGATTTACAAGTCCTTAATGTGGACTTACATTTTTCTAGCTTTCTCAGGATTTGATAAAGACTTCTGCTTCAAGCTGGAGCTGGAAAGACATTTCTTACCAGTGACCGTATATACACTAATAATACCAATCACAACAATATAATTTAAATACATTTTACTAATTGATCCTAGCTACTATCTGGCAAAGGCATATTTTACCCTGGAACACTCAGATTAATCTAATCTGTCAAGAAATCAGACAGTTACTCCAACCAAAAAGCCCACAAACACCCTAACAAAAAAATTCTTTCCACCTCAACCTGTCCTGAAAACTCATAAGACTCGATATCACTGGGAACTTTATGAGCTACAAGGAAAAAAATCTCGTAACAAAGAAGTACAAAAGTCTTGCCTAGTTGCTGCTCAAAGTCACTGAAAGAACATCTGTGGATACATCAAAGGAAAACCCAGAAATATCAACAGTATTGAAAAAATAGCTATAATTTCCCCCCCACACACATATCTTATAAACATTTAGCCATGAGTTGAACTTTAAGCAGAATTGAAATCGAGGAACTCACTGTGTTAAAATTTAGGCATGTATATATGTTTGTAGCAGTGTAGAGGGAGGAGTAGTCTTGGCAGCTAAAGGAGGCATCAGAAGATCGGATGAAGCCTTAGTGGGCTAGTGAACTCAGCCATAACAGCAGGAAAGAACTCTATCTTTAAGGTGATATATTTATTGATTCCTCTACCCATTTAAGTATTTACCTTTTTTGCCAGCCTATCATTGCTCTTTTTATCCACTCATTTCTATGTCATTTTTTTTTCACTGCTTTGTCTAGCTCCTCTTGGCTAATTGTCCACGATCCATTACTGCAAATATCAGAGAAAATATGATATTTCTAGATGAATCATAATGGCTTGAGCTTTTATTACTATCTCTAAATACCCCCATAATTAAAGAAAACTTTAAGTTAGGCATTTCATCCAATATTATATAAAAGTCAATGGCCTTAATCTGATTCTCCCTGATTTTGGAGAGGCTTTCTCAGCGAGCAGTCCATAGTAAGTCTATGCACAAACATCAGAAGCATAACATACTGAAAGGTGAAAGTCATCTTTGCTTCTCTTCTCTTCAGGCAGAGAGTATCCCCTCTGCCAGAAAATCTGACATGCAAATATTTTATTTTGTACAACATTTGGATTTATCTCAGCATGTTTTCAGCAACACATTGGTCTTTCCTGGTGCTCAACTTTCCCTCAACTCAATGACATCCTAAGTGATAGCAGAGGTATAAAGTGGTCAGCCAAGCTTTCACCTCTCGTTTTATTTCTGCCTGTGCCCGCTAGCAGTAAATCTCTTACAGCAAGTTCTTTGTAGCAGGTTGTGTGTAGGACAAGGCATGTTTATGCTCCATCTTATTCTGTTCTCCTCCTAATGAGCATTTATGCACTCACCAAACTTTACTCCTTGCCACAGGCTTTACTGAGGCCTGGAGCTTAGCAGCATTAAAAAAAAAAAAAAAAAAAAAAAAAAAGGATTAGACATCTATATGGATAATGAGAACATCCACAGTCACATTAGACTGGATAAAAATGTAGAAAGGACACAAACCTTCATGCTTTATTATATAATCCAACCACTAATTGCTTGGGGTTAGAAAAAAATTTTCATCACTGGGCAGCTTATTCCATCATTGTTCATTATAGGATTTTTTGTACATTACTCTGTAGTATATCTGTTATTGGCACTGCCCTGTGGTTCTGCATTTCTAAATGCAAGGATAGAAATAAAATATTAAAGCTGCGCATTCAATCGCACTAACGGTATAGAGAAAGAAAAGAACATGCCAGTGCCATCCAAAGTCAGCATCTTACAAACAATTTTCTTTTATGATATATCTCTCATTCTAAAAGTGGCCAAGAGTGCTGCAGTATTATGTATGTTACCATAGTAAGCTATGGTTATGACTTGCCATATATTGTTTAATGCCTGAATTTTGCTCTTAGATACTTTTTCATACCCAACAAAAAAAACCTGAAATGTGGGTTCAGACCATTATATCCTGTAGCAGAATGCGCTTTGTTGCTTGAAAATAGCAAAGCAGGACAATCAAAATCTGTAGAGGGATGACATCCACATCATTCAGTCCCAAATAAATCTCATTAATTGTGCAGTTTGTCTACGCATTCACCTTTGTGTCTAGCTATAATATTTTTGATGTTACATCTATGCAACTCAAGAACTCCACAATCTTTGCACTATAAAAGCAGGTGCAAATTATGTAATTGTATTTACCCTGTAGTTTCACTTTTTTTTCTGTCTCACCCTATCCTCTTTTTTTAATATTGCCTTTGTCTGGAGCAGGGACATCTGGGTCAGTCTACTGAAACCCCTGTGGATTTGGGGCAAAGGCAAGAATAAGTCAAACATCCCTACTCACCAAGCCCCTAATCATAGCCCCGGATCCTGCAGGAATTCTCTCTTTCTGTGACTTCCACTTGAGTTACAGATCCATGCAGTACCCCCAGAAAACAATTCCTTGCAGACAGCTCTTTGCAAGCCATGCTCTCACCCTCTCCAGTACATAATGCCTCTCACTGCACTTTTGGGCATGGACAGAATCAAAAGGGAGAAAATATTTCTTCTCCTAGTACTATGAGTCCCTCTGGATATTTGGCCCTGTTGTGCTAATGCCTGCCCCTTAGTCTTCAGCTTGCAAAGCTATTGAATATGGCAATGTGTCACAATATACAATGGGGACAATGAGCATAATCTGTTGTGCCATGATATGGTGAGTCACTTTGTAGTAGTGCAAGGGCATTTGCCACTTCAACATTAGTCACAGTAATAGGGATTGCTCTCTTCTGCCTACATTCTTTGGTTATCAAGAGCCCAGTGCCTCTCTTGTAACAGTGGAGATCATCTGCACTGGTTTCTGCTATGTTTTACACCATCAGCACTCTGCTCTCCAAAAACAAGTTCCTTTCATTACTGGATTGCATTATGAGGGTCTAGATAAAATGCTCCCTGCAAAAATAAAACCTCCTTGGGAAGAGGAGGGGAGAAAATGGGAGATCAAAGGGCAGTGAATGGAAAAGACAGAAGCAGCTCTCACAGGATCAGTGACACAAAAGGACAGAACTAGAAGAGGGCACTGAGCAGAGCACTCAGAAGAGAGCAAGTGATGCCCAGAAGGGAAGCATAAAGATATCCCATAGTACCCAGTGGGATGTCCAGCTTTATTAGAGCCAGGGGTGAACCCAGTGGTAGGGCAGCACTGGGGTGCCTCAGATGGAGAATGCTTTGCAGGACACTGGTTTCTTTAGTGCATTTAGTCTGAGCTGTAGTTACTGAGAACTACAAAAGATTTCCCTTAGTTCTTCATAATTCTCTATAAATGTGTTGCCTCATTCACTGTTCTCAGGCTCACAGTATTACTGTTCCTGACTGCCTGCTGCTGCCAGGAACAGCTTTATATATCCTCACTGCAGATACTGCAGAAGTTCCTCCATTCGCCTTTGCTTTCTCAATGTGTATATGTCTGGGTTAGTGAGACAGCAAGCTCCACTTGATACCCTGCATAGGGTGCAGTCCTCTCTGGTCTCAATAGACCCCTCCTAGTGATATTAGCCAGAATCAGGGACTCGTTTGTACAGACAGAAAAAGGAACCAACTTCCACCACCACACTGCATGCATTTCAAAGTTATCAGAGGATGTGACTCACGAGAATAAGAAAAGAGCAAGAACAAGAAAAGAATAACAAAACCACCTGTAGAAAGGTCCAGTCCCCATAACATTCAGTCCAGTCATACACCATGTCCTAGAAAATACCTGGCTCAGCAGCCCCTAGGCTTAGTTACTTGCTGTGGGAAATGTTTGGCTTTGTTGTATTTGTCCACCATAAATCCCGAGATGAGCTTTCACTTTCATATTTTGTATCAGCAGTTTCAAAAGTGCAACAGTGAGCTCCTGAAACATCATTATGACTGGAAAGCATTTATTTGACCCATTTGTAACAATCTGCCACGTGCCATAAACCACGCTTTACTGGTAAAATAAATAAGTGAAGGAATGCACTCATTAAAAATATAATAACAAGTTGCCATCCTCAATTGTAGTCTAAGCTACTTTAATGATGCTGTGTACTCCGAACAATCACACTGCAGACATAATGAATGAGGTTGTTTAAGGCAGTTGTGGGAGCCTTTTCAGAGCCAAAGCGTCTTCTCCTCTGATCTGGAAGAAGGTGTAAATACAAAGCAGGAACTTTACTGATTTTCAGAGGAGAAGCACCTAAGTGAGTTAACACCTTGAGGGGTTTTTTTCGGAGGTCGCTTAAAGTAAGCTCCCAAAAACATGAAGTTAAGTGCTCCATTATGTTTAAAACCTGACCCTGATTTATATGTTTATGAGCTCAGGCAATGGTAGAGAAGTCTGGTCCTGGCTCTGTTGCTGAATTAGTAAGTCACCTTGGCCAGCCACCTCCACCTTGTGACATTTCCAATTCTTCTGCTTTTTTTTTTTTTTTTTTTTTTTTTGCTTTGTTCATTGGAAGCTCTTCATGGCCAGACATGACTCTTACTGTCTTGTCTCAGCAGAAGACCAATTTTGGATG